ATAGATAGACAAACAAATAAACAAACAAACAAACAAATATATAAATAATAAAAAATAACTTAGAAGGTGGTCGGGGGGGTCGGGGACGGGGGATGAATAGTAATCTTTCACAATAAATGATTGATAAATCATCGTATGCAGCATTATGCGATGTGTAGGGGGGCGGGGCGGGGGGGTTAGGGAAATATGTGTATGTGTGTAATTTGTGTGGCAGGGGGAAGCGTGGTTGGTTCGCCGGAAAGCGATGATTATATATTATTGTTATTTTGTTGGTAATTTGTTGTTGACCATGATGATCATCCTCCTGCGGTGTGTTGAACAAGTGATCGATCGTATAACCATCTTTTTTTCTTCTCTTATATATACTTATATATTAAATATTAATAATTATAAATTACAATAATCGGTAATATTAATATTATCCATTATCATTAATATTATTATTTTTAAATGCATACAATTTTAAACATTTAGTTTTCGACAAAAAGTGGATAGTAGAGGCGAAGGGAAAGGTGGTAGTGGTGGTGGTTGAAGTGGTGGTAGTGGTGGTGGTGGTGGTCGAGAAACAGAGAAACGTGAAGAGCGTGTGCGTGTAATTATTTTTTTTTTTCTTATGTGTGTTGGTTTATATGCCAAGAGAGAGAGAGAGAGAGAAAGAGAGTGAAATGATTGACAGAGATACGAAAGATGAATTACAAATAAAATAAAAATCGTACAAAATCTAGAGTCACGGGAAAATTTAAAACAACGAAATAATAAAAAAAAGAAAGAAAAGAGAGAGAGAGAGAGAGAGAAGATGAACGATTATGCGATTTTTTTTTCAACTTCAAACTTCACACTCCTTTGGATCTACAACTTTTCAAAAGTTTCGAGATAACCATTTTAACCATTTTATTTTCTCCCTATATAAAAAAAAAAAAAAAGATAAAAAAGCAATGGCTTCCTCTCGTTGAAAAAGATCAAAGATAAAAGACATCCTATTATTATTTTTTTGTTTTTCTTATCCAAAACCGGAAGTGACTATTTTAAATCTATCGGTTTAGGATAAAATAAATGAAATGAAAAAATGTTTCGAACGTAAACGATGCATTGTGACATTTACAAACAATTCCATCCGTTCCTCTCATATCCAAACCCCTTTTCATTATTCGATATTTCTCTTTTACGAACGATATACAACACGAAACGTAGAAAAACAGAGAAAGAGAGAGAGAGAAGAGAGAGAGAGAGAGAGAGAGAGAAAAAGAAAGAAAAGAAAGAAAGTTAGGTTTTTACGATCAAAAGAAAAGAAATATTGGCGATCGTTGGGCCCTAATCTTTCACCTCCCTACCTCCCCACCCTCCCGATTATTAACAAATGGCGGAAATACGGTGTCCCACTAATTCGCATATTTTCTTGTTCTATTCAAAAGCGAAAGATTAATAATAAAGATTTGAAATATGTTTTATTAGAAAGTAAAGCAGAAATAGTGAAAGTAAAAAAAAAAAGGAAAGAAAGGAGGAAAGAAAGAGAGAGAGAGATTAAAGTTCTATACAAAATAAATAAGGTTATGTCTATCAAATGAGATTAAAGATGGCGCGTACAAAGTCGGCGTAGCCATTGTTGTTGCAGAGGCGAATCAGCATTTGGATGATTATGATGATGATGACGATGATGATGATAATAATAATGATTACGATGATAATGACAATGATAATAATAATGACGACGATAATAATAATGATAATGACAACACGATCGAGAGTAATTTTAATGATAGCGATAATGATTATAGATAAAAAGAGAAAGTGAAAGAGAGGAAGAAGAAAGATAGAAAAGGGGTGGGTGGGTGGGGGGGGCTGAGGTTTATGAGGATTGATTTTCATTGGCCTTCTCTGCTCCTCCACTCGCTCACATTTGATCACTCGGTTCGTTCATTTGCTGTTCTTGTTCTTGCTCTTGTTGGTTGCTGTTCTCCTGTTGCTGTTGTTCATATCACGCACCAGGTCAAGATTAGGATTATAATAATAATAATAATAATTATTATTATTATTGTTGTTGTTGTTGTTAATAATCTTGTCAGTCAAAGAATTTTCGCGATACGAAGGAAGAGAAGGATAGTGGTTGGTTGTTGTTGTTGGTGTAGTAAAATGTGTGTTTGCGGCGGCGGCGGTGGTGGTGGTGGTACAGGAAACGAAAAATTAGAAAAAAGGCGTGTGGTCCACGCGGCACGCGAGCCGCGTCGTTCTCGCTTCCTTTGTCTTCTTTTTTTTTATCTTAGCGGAGGGCGGGGGACTCTCGCGCGTGATGTTTTTTTTTTTATTTTGTTTAGTTTTTATAGTTTAGTTATGTTCTTTTTTTTTTTCCATTTTATCATTATTATTCTTATTATTTTTTTTATCATTATTCATTATTAATATTAATATTAATATTATTATTATTATTATTTATTATTTATTATTATTATTAATTTTTTTTCGCTGGCATTGCGTGTGGTATTATTATTATTATTATTATTATAATTATAATAATTATTATTATTTTATTATTATTATTTATTCATTTCTTTTATATCTCTGTACGTGTGTTCTTATAATTTTTTATTTCTTGTTAATTTTTTTTATTATTCAGACGTCCGTGCGCGAGTATCTCTCAGTTCCTTTTTTTTAGGTTCGTTTGTTCTCTTTTTTAATTATTTTATTTTTTTTTTTTATTTGTTTGAATCGTTATATCTCATTTTAACTTTTTTTCTCATTTAAATATTTGTTAAATTGGAATTTAATTTAAATACCACGTGTGTGTGTGCGTGCGAGCGAGCGCGCGCGCATGTTTTTACGACGGTGTGCGTTTATACGTTGAAAAAAGAAAAAACGCAATGTGCGAGAGATTATCATCATGACCATAACTTCTTCTTCTTCTTCTTCATTGCTGCTGCTGTTACTAATTTTGTTTCCAATTTTCTGCGTCTGCTGCTGCGCTTCTTCTTCTTACGTTATATATATTCCTGTTCCAACACAACCGCTTATTTTTCTTCTTCTTCCTCCTCCTCCTCCTCCTCCTCCTCCTCTTCTTCTTCTTCTTCTTTTTCTATTTTATTTTTCTCCTTCTCTTTCACGTTCGAATAATAATCGCACAAAATAATAATGCGACGATTTTTATTCATCTCATCATTTATTATTTTTTTTTTATTATTATTTTATTTATTAATTTTCGCTCGTCGCGCCTCGCGTCGGCGTCTTTATCGGCAGTGAACGCTCGGAACCTTACGTTCGGGTCAAGTTATTTAAAAGTTCTTTAGTATTTTTTTTCTTCTTCTTCTTCTTCTCTTTTTTTTTTTTTCTTCATTTTATTTTATTTTATTTTATTTTATTTTTTTTTATTATTATATTCTCTTCACATCATCATCATCATCATCATCATTTTTATATTCTTCTCTAGACGACCACATATCAACATCTAGGATAATATTATTCTCGTAGAACGATCCCCCCCCCCACCCGTCCACATTCTTTCATTTAATCTTCTTCTTCTTCATCATCATCACCTTCGTGTTAAATTCTTTTTCGTATTTTTATCATCACCATCTCTACCGTATGTAATGTTTAATATGCTCTTGTTTCGAAAGGATCGTCAAAAGCCGAGTCAACTGCTGATGTTGTTGCTGTTGCTTCCTCCATTCGAGCAAGTGTTCTCTCTCTCTTTCTCTCTCTTTCTCTTTTTCGCATAATCAAAAGGGTCGGCGTCACATCATACTCGGTTTCATTTGCAACGCGGTCCTTGGAGAAAGGAAGGAGCCCAAAGAAACAAGGAAGCAACGTGTTTTTTCTTCTCGCGAGCGAGGGCGAGAGTATAGTTTTTTTTTTAGTTTTCGACGACGACGACGACAACGACGACGATTCCACAAGTATGCCGTCTGCTCTCTCTCTTTTCTTTTTATGTTTACTTGTTTTCATTATTATTTATTATTATTATTATTATTATTATTATTATTATTATTATTATTATTATTATTATTATTAATATTATTATTATTATTATTATTNTTATTATTATTATTATTATTATTATTATTATTATTATTATTATTATTAATATTATTATTATTATTATTATTAATATTATTATTATTTATTCTTTTTTTGGTATTTCCACAGTTCTACCTTTTTCCCAAACTTTTAACGTCAAAACTTCGTCGTCACATATTACCGTTTCCCCTTCTTCATTTTTATTTCCTCGATTACTTCCTTCTCTCCCACCATTTTAATATTTTGTTGTTCCTTTTCCATTCCCTAATTAATTCTTCTTCTTCTGCTTCTTCTTTTTCTTCTTCTTCATCATCATCATCATCATCATCATCATCATCATCATCATCATCTTGTTCCTTCTTCTTCTTTTTCTTCTTCTATTTTCGCTTTAGTTTCAAAAATGTAGCATCCGAAACGATGGTAAAAATAAGTTGACTTAGAAGCGTTGATACTCGCGGGTAATCTTGTCGCCGACTTTGCCACGTCGCCAGGTTAAGTCAACGACTATGCGTCTATTACGGTAGTCTTTTTTTTTATTACCATCACAACCCAAAACGTTCTTAGAGTCGCTGCTGCTGCTGCTGCTACTGCTACTACTGTTGTTTCTGCTGCTGCTGCTATTGCTGCAATTCTTGTGCTTCTTCTTTTTCTTTGTGCCATTAATGTTGTTATTGTGGTTGCTTTTGCTGCTGCTGTTGTTGTTGTTATTGTTGTTGTAATAATTAATATTATTGTTGTTGCATTTGGTTCCGTTACCGCTGCTCGTCGGATATCCAAAGTTTCTGATCAGCTTAACCTCCGGTGTACCCGGTGGCTCGTTGTTGACCGATGATGTCGCGACTGCTGGCACGCCGGCTTGTTGCTCCGTGATAAGATGGTGGTATCTGATGCTTATATTGTACGCGGACTGGCTGCAGTTGGTTCTTTGGAGGAACGTCTTGGGGGGAGCCCCAAGTTAGTTCCAAATGCGAAGGAATGAGTCCCAAGATCCCGTCGCTACTGCCATACCATCTTCCGTTACACCAAGGCAGGATACGCGATTGTCGTGCCCGGCAAGTATACCTTAAACAAACAATTTTTCTTTACGCGTGTGTTTTTTTTTTTTTTCATTTACAGGGACAATTGTCAATTATATGTGTAATAATACCTAATGGAAAAACTATAATAGCAGGTAAGACAAAATATATATGCGAGAGAAGAAGGTAAAGGTTATTTTAAAGCATTGAGAGAAGGCCCTAAATCAAAAATTCTTCTCTCCCTATACTACTACTATTCTTCAAAAATAATATAATCTTGAAAAATGTTATAAATGGGTAAGGATGAAACACACTAACAATAAGAGAAACAACAAACGTACCAGCTCGCTCGGCTTTCATAGAATCCCATACGTTGCAGTTGAAATCGTCGTAGCCAGCTAACAACAATCTACCGCTCTTGCTGAAAGCTACACTCGTAATACCGCAAATAATATTGTCGTGGCTGTACATCGCAAGTTCTTGATCCGCTCTGATGTCAAATAGTCTGCAAGTAGCGTCATCCGAACCCGTCGCGAAAGCATGTCCGTTAGGGAAGAACTATACCCAAATAAGAAATGTTATTTTTATTTTTAACCACATGTAACACCATAATTGAATGCGAAAGTATATACAAATTATGGTTAGTCATATATTTTTTATATATCATAAAACCACGATTAACGTTTATCAGTTGTGTATGACGAAATCAGCTTTCCTGACAAAAATACCAAAAAAATATTATTTATGCGTACGTGTTCTATATATATATATATAAATATGCGTGATTTACCGTAACGGCGTTTATGTCACTCTCGTGTCCAGGGAAAGTCTGTTTGCAAGACCCTTCGCGAATGTCCCAAAGTTTAGCACTAGCGTCGCACGCACCGGAAACGAAGGTACGCGTATCGGGAGCCAGCGATAGGGACATGACGTCTCCTGTGTGACCGATGAACGAAGTGCATTGTTGACCAGTCTCGATATCCCATAGAGCACTGAATTAAAATATCAAAAAGATCTTTACTCAAATTTTTTTCTCATTTGACACAAATATACATATTATATATTATCTAAATTTGAATAATTTATTATACGGTTAGGATCTCGATTAATTAATGATGTTATTATAGTTTGTTTAACAAACGGATGATCTAAGTATATAAAATAGAATGATTATCAAATTAATCCGTATAGTATGTTTAGTGAATTGAGAAATGTGTAATTTCTTACCAGGTCATATCACCGGAGCTAGTTACGATTTGGTTGTCGTCGTAAAATCGACAACAGGACAAGTATCCGGTATGTCCTGGTAATTCTCTGCTGACCCGTACATTTCCTTCTCTTGTTTTAAGGCTATAAATGGAACATATGTTGTCCAGGCCACCGCAAGCCACGTAACTACCCGACGGTGCATACGCGCAGGTCATCACCCACGATGAACGTAAAGGGATGGCATGTACCTTGTTGGTCGTATAACTATCCCAAACGATCAGCTTACCGTCTTGCGAGGCGGATACTAAATTTCTACAAGTCAAACCTTCGATTTATACACCCCAAAGCTCGAAACAACAAAATCATTAACGGAAAAAAAGAGACACAAAAATCTATTCTATAATCTCTATTAAACAAGATTAGAATATTTTGATAATACCTAGAATCACTTCCCCAATGCATAGCATAAATCTTAGCCAAGTGACCTCGTAAGGTACGTCTCGTACGCATTTGTATTCGACCAATTGGTTCCAAGCCGGCCGTCGCTTGGTCCAAACTGGTGTCGCATGCAGCTTTTCTTGCATCCTACGTGAAACCAAATATACACAATCAATTTCCAAATCATCCTTGTCAATTGTATTATTATACATTGGTGTGTGTATTAAAAGAACCAAAAATGTAGGCTGGGGGGGCATGATTCTTCTATGTTAAATGATTTATAATGAACGGGGATCGATATTATTGATCAAAAAAAAGGGGGAAAAAAGTGATAAGAAAGAGTCGTACATGTATGAAGAATAGGAGAAACAAGACGTAGAGTGAGCAAGGAAGACAGACAGAAAGAGAAAGAGAGAGAGAGAGAGAGAGAGGGATGGTGGCGTATTGATCAGAGAAGCGATGGCTATGCCGCGCCCTACCACCACCACCACAGAACACCAACACGGCCAGCGACTAGCGTGTCTCACCTCCACCACCACCACCACCACCACTACTATTATACTACTACGATCTCACCACCATACAGAAAGCTCCACGGTGCACGCTATGTCTCAGGGTTTTCTCTCTGCTTAGGAGAAGTTGTGTGCTGCTTCCGTTATTATGCTACTTTCATCACCATCACCACTTTTAACTATAACCACCCCCCTCTATCACTCTTTCTCAGTCGAGTTATTTTTAATCAACGAATATACCAGTAATTCAACGGGTATCTAAAAAAAAGAGCCTATGTGTTGGTTACTTACTGAAAACTTTTGTAAGAATGGTAATAAACCAAATTTGATACGTGTCCAGAAGTTGGGTATATGTTTAGAATCTTGTTACTTTTGTCTATGTGTTATTAATTTGAAGTATATGATGATATTAGGCTCTTTTTTTTTTTAGACATTCGTTCAATTTATCATAAAAAGTTAGGTTTTGATAGTGGGAAAAATAATAAGATTAGCAATAAGGCTGAGTTAATGTTGAGAAACTCGTAAGCAGATGAAAGGAAAAGAAGGATTAAATCGTGTTAATTTTTCAGTTTAACGATATCGTGCAAATGACGTTGGTAAATGAGACAGACAAAGAAAGAAAGAGAGAAAAAGGTTAGTGTAAATAAATAAATGTGTTTCATACGATTGACAAGGATGAAGAAGATGAAGAAGAAGAAGAAAAAAAAACTGAAAAAAGGAGTCGGTGACTCGTTAAGGAATGAATAGGGGGAGGTTAGGGGTGAGGGTGGGTGAGGGGGGTTTCAAGACCGTGTTTAACGGCAAGTGCACTTCGCCCGAGAGATGCCCGAGACTTTTATCTTTTAAAACAATGCACTGCTGTTGCACGTAGAACTGTTGCTTTGTGTCTTTGGGAAGCTGAGCCGAGACAAGTAAAGCAAAGCAAAGCAAAGGAAAGCAGAGCAGCAGCCAGTTTGTCAGTCGATTATGAAAAACAAAAAGAAGATAAGGAAAAATTTGCACGAATTTCTTGATGATAATGATGAGAATTATTAAGAATATACTTGAGAACGCGAATTCAGTGTTCTCTTGATTAACATACTCTCGGTTTTTTTTTAACGGATTTCCTACTACATTACTTTGTTTTTATCCTCTACCGGATAATAAAGAAGTTTTATCTTTCCTTTCTAAGTAATCAAGGTAAATGTTGCAATAAAAAAGCTAAGAGGAATTGTAAGATTAAATTTACATATTTGAAAGGTTATAACTTACTTACTTCGGTGATAATTAACGAAGATAAGCAAGCAAGCAAGCTTTAGGAAGATTCGAATTTCATTGATAGAGGTATCATAATCCGTTTAGGTCAGCAATCTTCTCCACAGCGTGATCATCACTGACGTCAATAACATAAGGACAGCGGGGAAAGGATACGGTGGAGGATCATTGAGGGATGAAAAGAGGTGGAGGAGAAGAAGAAAAAATAAACAATGTGGTGTGATCGATTCTTACTCGGGAAAACAACTTACTCGAATAGCATTTTTGAGGGTCTCCGCCTCCTGGCGAAGGCTGTCGAGCTCATTCATGGTGCCCGTCGTGTTTGCTGCGACTTTCTGTACTTCTCGATAATCCGTTTAAGGAGGGTGGGTGGGGGTTAAAAGAAGAATCCGTCCGTAGTAGTAGTAGTAGTAGTATTTGGAAGGAAATCGTAGATTAACTGTTTATTAGTTTTAAATTTCGAAGATTGTTTGTTGCTTTTTATGCAACAACAAGGGGGGAAGGGAGGGGGCCTTGTTGGCCGGTCACACCGATGTTGCACCGGTGTCACGCCGTCGGTTGCGTTGCTTGTAATTGTAATTGTTGTTGTTCTTCTTTTTCTTCTTCTTTCTTTTCACTTTCTTCCTGCGAAGAAGAAGTTGGTAATTCGCCGTGAAGAAGAAGAAGTTTTTTACGTTTTTGAACGTTGGACGACGATGATGTACGAGGTGGTGTAGTTGGAGGTAGTGGTGGTGGTGGAGGAGGAGGTGGAGGAGCAGGTGGAAGCGGAGTTGGAGGAGAAAGTGGAGGGAGGTGAAAAGGTAAGAATGCAAGGACGAGGACAAGAATAATAGGAAATGAAGAAGAAGGTCCCTTCTTATTGCGATGACTCTTCTTTTCTTCTTCTTTTTCTTTTTCTTCTTCTTCTTCTTCGATATACAACGTTCCCAGTCCGGCGGATGGTGGTGACAACAGCAGCCTTTCCACAAGTAACGCTACTGTTGCTGTTGCTACTACTACTACTGCTGCTATTACTGTTGCTATTACTGTTGCTATTACTGTTGCTATTTCTGGCCGAGAATAGCTTGTTTCTAAAGTTTTTCCTTCAGCTAATAACTTGGCGGCTTCCGCTTTCGTTACTTTTACTGGTACCACCGGAAGAACCAGAGCCAGGCCAACGCCGACTCGTCCACCCCTCGCGCCACCTTCGACGCTTCCGAGCGAGACCGTTGCCACCCCTGAAAAATCATCAATTTGTTTATTTTCATTGATAGTTACTACTACTTTACTACTTCTTCTTATTCTTATTCTTATTCTTCTCCTTCTTTTTCACTCAAAATTCTAATTTTGTTTCTTATCATTAATTTCTCGATATATCATCGTGCAATTCATGGTACACTCAACGGCTCTTTTTTTCCCATCGAATGAAGTTTCAAGCACACATTGAATGCTTGAACCTAACGAACCAACAACAACACCATCGCTGACTGACTGACTGACTTAATCAGAAATCGCACGATAAGGCCCATCTTTCGCAAATAACAGATAAATAACAGTTCTCTTGCCTCGAGATAACGACTGCACTTTTTTTTTTCTCTCTTTATCGTGGGTTTTTGTGCACCGATTCATACCACCACCAAACCCTTCTTCCCTCCCTCCCTAACCTTCTTATTTCGTTTCTCTTACGATTAAAGATATCCAATTGTTGTTGTTTTTTTGTTTTATTTCTATTTACAGCGACCTTTATTTCAACGCGATGATTTAAATTTTCTTTATTTACAATTGACGTCAATTTTTTACAAATGAATTTTACTTAAACGAATACGAATTTTTGACAAATTTCGATTCATTTTTATCGAGGAAAATTTGATAGAATGAATCGACGATTTCAACGAAACACGTGAATCATCATGCTGCACAACTCGTTATTCCCAAACACTAGTACTTTTTTTTTTCATTTTTTGATAGATTACATCGACACCTAAAATAATACGTTTTTCACTTTAAATTCCACAATTCGTTTTGATAAGAATTAAACGAATCAAATATTTGATCGTACTAATCATATAATACTACGTTGAAAGAAAACAAAAGAAAAAATAGGTTTTACGATCTGGATCAACGAAATCTCGGAAGGACAGGGAAACGGGGAATAAGAAGAACAATTCTTTGTGGCAAATGATCGAACAGTAGTGGAGTTGTTTTTTGGGGGTTTTAGTGAAAAAAAAATTTGGTGCGTCGGCACGAGGAGGAGTAAAAACGGTGGCAACGAGCGTCCTTCACCTCCAAAAGGTGGTATCGCAACCCGGGGAAACCGGGGGTTGTCGATCCAACGCAAGGTGTTCTCATTTTACGGAGCCGGCGAAATACTTTTGACGCATGCGCACTAAACATCTTTATGAAAATGGAGATGGTAGGGTAGAACGGAGGAGTTAGTCATTTCTTCTTTATAACAGAATTTTTATCTTATATTTTTGTTGTTTTTCTTTTTTGGTTTTCGAAACTTGGTACGACACGTATCCCATCGATTCTTCCCTTTTTTTTTTTTCTAACGTGAAAAATCTCCAACTAGGAACGAACGTAAAATGTACGAAGAATAAAAGTAGAAATCGTACGGTCTCGTTTTCAATTATCCTGTCATCCTTCGAACGAATGTCAATGAACACTATTGTGAAATCTATTTAAAAATAAATTCATGATAGATTGACAATTATTGAATGAAAAAGATAGATAGATAGATAGATAGATAGAGAAAGAGAGAGAAAGAGAGAGAGAGAGAGAGAGAGAGAGAGAGAGAGAGAGGGAGGGGAGAAAAGAAATATGGCCGGTTCGATCTTAATTCAGTAGTTCTAGCTGGTAGAATCGATTATCGATATTCTCTTGATGTTCACGCTGAACAACAGGCTCCCATATTTAATGTCATTGGATATATATTTCCCCCACCCCTCCACGACAAAAGGCACTAATCTACGGATTGATTAATTTGGCACAATGACCTTTTCGAAATGTTGCACCAAAATTTGGAGAACAGAAGAACCCATCGAATCTCGTCCAATCGGAACACGCCATTTCGTATGCCATTTTCTTTTTTTCATATTTCCAATTTAAAGTGAATCCAAAAAGGAAATTAATTGAAATGAATACGAAGAAGGATGACGGGAAAGAATAAGACCGATAAAGAGAAAAAAAAATGGTTGAAAAGGAGAGAAAGAGAAAGGGAAAGAAAGAGAAAGAGAAAAAGAGAGAGAGAGAGAGACTTTATCGAACTTACACTCGCCTTCCCTCATCCACTCCTGTCAGAGCGTCATCGAGCTAACACGAACATAACCTCCGCGACGAGTGCGACGTACGACGAAACCGTCGGAGGAGGAGGAAGAGGAAGAGGAGGAGGAGGACGAAGCGGAAGAAGAAAGGGAGGGGAAGGAGGAAAAGAAGGAAGGGAAGGAGGCGGAGGAAGAGGAAGAAAAGGAGAGGAAAGAAGAGGAGGTGGAGGTGAAGGTGGAGGAGGAATGAGAAACGATACCGTGGAAAGTATTTGCGTGGTTCGGCGCCAGGTTGCGCTCTCTATCATCCAAAGGAGTCACGGAAGCGAAACAGAGGAAGTTCCTTGCGCGAGAAGTAGTATACTCCTCTTATCTTCCTATATATAAAACTTTTCCCCTTCTCTGGTGCTACTACTACTACTACTCTACTACTACTACACCACCACCACCACTACCGCCACTACTACACTACCACCACCACCATCACCACCCCTTCTTGGCCTTCCCCTTTTTCTCTTCTTCTTCTTCTTCTCAAGCGGCAATATTTGCTGCTGTTGCTGTTACTGTTGCCGGTATGAAAAACGTGAAGAGACTTTTCTTCCACCTCCTCAACAAACAACTTGACTCGTCGAACTTCGATACGCAAGATGCGATTTTCATAGAGAAGAGGATGACACTACACACGTTAGGGAGAGCTCGCTCATTGGCTGCGTTTATTTTATATAGAGCTTTCTTTTTAATGCCGCGTTCACAGAACTGAAGAGAGAACAACCACAGCACAGCACAGCACAGTACAGCAGAGCACAGCACATCACCACCACACCACCACCACCACCACCATCATCACCGTGGGAGAGCGACGAATCGATGAACGACCGACCGACCGACGTCTTGCCCCTCCACTCCTACAACCCTCCCAACACCCCCGCAACACTACCTCACTCTCTCTCTCTCTCTCGTATTCGCACACACTAACTCGCTCGCTTACTCACTCTAGCTATCTATCTATCTATTTATCTATCTTCTTTCTTCGAAACACTCTAGACAGAATCAGAAAGAGAGAGTGGGGAGTGAATTAGCACGTATATGACCACACATATTATACATACACGCATGTGTAAGAGAGAGAGAGAGAGAGAGAGAGAGAGAGAACGAGACGTACGTGTTTTGATCGACGATTTTACACGGCTGAGTAAAATGAGTTTAAATAGAACAAATAAAAGTAATATAAGTGTCATATACGAGAGAGTTTGTATATAAAAAAAAAAAAAAGGGGTAGTAGGAGATTCGACGACCAACGACGAAGACACGTTCTCGAACCACACCCAGAGAGGATGTGGTTTAGAGAGAGAAAGAGAGAAAAATAAAGAGAGAGAGAGAGAGAGAGAAGGCCGGCCGGGTGGACGAAGAACACGCCGCGCCGTGGTAAGAGCAAAAGAGGGGAAGGGGTTGCGCGCGCCAGAGAGAGAGAGAGAAAGAGAGAAAAGTGTGTGTGTGTGTGTGTAAACGAGCGAGAGAGAGAGAGAGAGAGAAAGGATTGGTGGCGCCATCACGCATGCTTATCGACACAACTACCGGCGTCGAGAGGGCACCACCATCGTTTGCTCCTTGCATGACAGGTTGCTGTTCGCGGACGCCACCAACGATGAGATGATTCGTCGTCGTTGTCTCGATGTATTTTGACAAATAATTCGATAATTCGCAATTTTCTGATTACTTTTTTTGGCCATTTTATTTAATCATATTTTCAACTACACTTTTCCTCTTCTCTTGATCATATTTCCTATACCACCCATTTTTTTTTTTTTTTTATAACAAATAATCGGATATGACTCGTCGATGACCACTAGAAAATGGACGGAACACATTGGTGTGTTTTATCTCGTAAGGGATAAAAGAAAAAAAGGAGGAAAGAAATTGTTGGTTTTTGTTTTAATTACCTTGTAATATTTGATTTAAGGCAAAAATAGAGTTTGTATGAAAGAAATACGATATAAAAAAGATGATATTAATTAAATGTTAAATGGACCCGCGATGAAATATATCGAACGGAGCTGATTAGGGGTCCATCCTCGTCGTTCGATCCACACATTTTCATTCTTATCTCTTCTTTGTCCCACCTCTCGTGAAAAAAAAAAAAAACGTTGGATGGTACACGTGTGTAGGTAATTATTTGTTGGAATTGTTCATTTTCTCATTTGTTATTGGCTAATCGTTATTTAATGCAAACGATTGAGAAATCCCAATAGGAAGATAAAAGTTTCGAATCGTTAAGAAGGACTTCAGATTTCAGAAGAAAATCAGTATTTATAGACTTGACTATATGCGCGCGAAGATTACATATCCACGCTTTGGAAAATTATGTATATCTACAAAGAAATCTGGCAATCGTCCAACATCCAAAATTCTCAGAAAAGGTGGACCGTGAAAACGGATCGCGCATTTACTTCATCTTACTTTTTAACACATCGAAACTCCGTATGGGTAAAATATGGGTGGTGGTGGTGGTGATGGTGTTAGTGGTGCGGGGCGCATTTACGTGTGAGATTTAGTCGAAACACACACTTGTTGTGTCGTCGTCGCGGCGCTTTTCCCCATTAGATTCTTCGTGTACCCCGAGAGAGGTATTCTATAAAAATACTTTTTATTTTCTTCTTCTTCTTTTTTTTCTTTTTTTTTTACTTTATTTTCTTTTTTTTTCTTTTTTACTTAACGGGCTTTCGCTTTATTCGAGCCAGAGCCTGAACATGACCACGAACGGAACCGCTAATAGCGTTCTCGATTGGCTGCACCAACATAGACAGAGGGTGCTCAAAGAACAAGGTGCGTGTTCGGTTGATTAACGACTTGTTCGATCGTCGAGGAGAGGAGGCTTGGCCAATGTGCTTTTCTCTTTCTCTTTCTCTCTCTCTCTCTCTTTCTTTCTCTCTTAACCTCCCTCTCTCCCTCCGTTCATCATCCCTTTTACTCTCACT